AAAAAAAAAAAAAAAAAAAAAAAAAAAAAAAAAAAAAAAAAAAAAAAAAAAAAAAAAAAAAAAAAAAAAAAAAAAAAAAAAAAAAAAAAAAAAAAAAAAAAAAAAAAAAAAAAAAAGGAAGGGTGGATTGCATTGATTATACATGCTGGAAAAAGGTGTTAGGTAACACCTGAAACAATGTCATAGAAAGATTCCCAAAGAAAGGGGTGACGTACTTTCCCAGGCAATTCAGGGGCAAGAACCTCCCTGCTGAAGGTAAGCTGATATATCAAGGTGGGACTGAAGGACAACTTAATCAGCCTCAATTATGTTAACCAGGAGGTGGGGCGGGGAGGGGGGAGGGGGATAACCCACGATCAGACTCGACAACACTTTCATACAGCTGAGCCTTGGCAACTAAAGTATAGGATACAGGTTCTATTGGGTAACACTTGGATTGTTTCTAAAGTCAGGAAACTTGTAAGCTCTTCAGACCCCATTTAAGGATTTTACACTCTTGAAGGTTTTGGAAGCTTTTTATCACAAAATATCCTACCTTCCTTAATAAGAAGCAAGTATGTCAGTTACAGAAAGCAAGTTCAGGGCATATTACATTAGATGAATATAAAGCTCAATTTTTTTTCATAATTTATAGATCAATTTATATTTGTTTATAAAATCAGTAAGTTTAAGTGAAAACTTCCAAAAATTGTCACGTATCTTCAGACACTACTTTGTTGTGAAAATTATTGCAAAATCTAAATCTTTAGAGTCTGAAAAATGCAACCAACTATGGAGGTACTTCAAAAGTGTATTTTTAAATATCCAATACCAAATTTTTTTCTATATGTAAATATTCAATACCAAATTCAAACTTTTAGAAAGGAAGTAATTTTGGACATATTTCTATAGCTTCTTAAAATATCTATGTTATTCACTTTAGTATCTTCAGTGAACACTATGTGACATTAAAGTTTTATTAAAAAATTAAAGAGGTTATTACTTCTCATGTAGATTTACATCAGTATGACCCTATATCTCATTCAGAAGATTTACAGCAAACAGGTCGGGCAGAAAGCATCTAACTTATGTGCCCCTTAGTTCATTCCTTCCCCAAAATTATTCCAAGTTTCTTGAAACATTTAGGAATCTTGGGAAAGTCCAAGCAGTCTCCTGACCGCCTTTTTGCCTCCTAAGAGTCACAGCTCATCATGAAACAAACAGGTTCACCAAAAAAATATGTCAAACTTGTGATAAAAATCATAGTATTTAGAGGTTGAAATATACTACAAGTCCTCTGAAACAAAGAGTACATTATGAAAATCATCAAGGTGGTGTCTCTTTTACTCCTCTGTACTGGAAGTTATTTAAAGAGTATTTTCAGTTTAATTCATTGCAGCTGAAAGACTTCTGAAATACCACACTCTTTATATACAACTTTTTCAAACATTATACATACATATATACACATGTATATGTATGTGTGTATATATATAACCCCAGGCTATTTGAGATTTCAGTGATGAAACAGGAAATGGAACTAAAAAACCTGAATCACTGTTTTGCAGAGCATATTAAGAGTGCACATGAAACAAAGAGAACCTAACAGGTCTAAAATACTTAAAAATATTTATGATAGCATGGGAAATGCCGTATTTGTTTTAAAAGTTGGTGAACCATCTTCACCTGTTAAAGGAGTGGAAAGCGCACATTTCTTGGAAACAGAGAGTAATTCATCAGACTCCACACCAGTCTTCCCAAAACTGCTACAATTTGGATTTTGCAGAAGGAAGGCACATACGTAAAGTTCACACCTGTTAAGAATTCACCCACATGCAAAGTTGCTTCCTGTGCGATAACCCACATGAACTATTTCAAAAACCAAGTCACCAATAAAAATACTCCATTATTCCACAGGCCACACTCAGCAGAGGGTCCTGATTCAGCAAACAGTTAAGAGCAGACCTAAATACTTTCCTAGTCATAATGACGATTCAAACCCCAAGATCCAACCCAGCTGTATCGCGGGAGGAGACAGGTTACAGAGTAAGACTGCAAGGCAGGCAGTCTAGTGATTCAAAAACAGTGACAGAAGACTGTCCCGGCGGTTTCCAGATGCAGTGATAACCCCAAAGGCTGCCTAGAGCTGTCCTGCCCCTGGCACCTCCAGCCCTGGGCCAGGGGTTCCCTCAGCTCCACACACTGGATCCCCATTTTCCTCCATATCCGCTTTCTCTGCCTTCCAAGCCCAATCTGACCCTCACCTCTCTCCCCAAAACCTCGCTCAGCCCTCCACCATCCCGAGCAAGCGCCCTGTTCACGCTCAGCCCCGGATCCTTTAATTCATGATGGAATCAGCCCCCGAAAGGCAGCGGATGGCGGAAGGAGGAGAAGGAATTAGATCGTTTCCTGTAGCTTTAATCCCCTCATTTGGGTTTTAGCAGCGCCGCCCGGGGCGCTCTGGCCGCTCGCCCGGAGCGAGGAGGCCGCGAAAGAGCTGCCGCAGCCTGGCCCGCTCAGGCCCCGGGAGGCGGGGAGAGAAGGGGAGGGGAGGGGAGGAAGGGAAGGGAAAGGGGCTGCCTGCCGGCCAGCTACGGCCCCGCGCTGTCCGGACAGCCGGGCCGGGCCGGGCCTGGCGGCGAGGTGGCACCGAGCGGCGCGGGGGCCCGGCGCGGAGGGCAGAGGGGCGCAGGCTACACACCCAGCAGCAGCCCGTCCATGTCAAAGATGAGGTGAGTGGCCGGGCGCAGCGCGGCCGCAGAGGAGCTGGAAGCGGACATGGCGAGGCCGAAGCAGCCGAGCGGGAGCGGAGCTGCCGCGGGGCGAGGCCGGGCCGGGCGCGGCGCGGGGGGGCCGGGGCCGCTCAGCGGGTACGGGAGCGCCGTGGGCCGGGCCAGCAGGGCCTCTCTGTTTGCTGTGTTCTGCTTTTAAAGCATAGTCTGTTTCGCTTTCTTGGGCGTATTTTGTTGGAGGACAGAGCTTCTTGCCTATAGGGGTTGTAGAGTCTCCCTCACTGGAGAAATTAAAAAACGGTGTGGATGCAGTCCTGTGCATTGTGCTCTGGGATGACCCTGCTCGGGTGGGGAGCTTGGAGCAGATGACCCGCTGTGGTCACTTCCAGCCTTACCCATTCTGTGATCCTTCAGTCCCCTGGTGCTGCTGGCGGGTGAGACCGGGGAGTTCCTCCCAAAATGACACTTCAGACAGTGTTGGCTCGCAAACCTTTTGCGTGTCTGTAATGAGATTTACAGGGATGATACTACCACCGGGTCATAATTGGAGACATAAACAGAAAGGCACAAATCAATGTAAAGCTGTGAGGGAAGTGTAAAGTAATGGGGAAAAAAAAAAAAAAAAAAAAAAAAAAAAAAAAAAAAAAAAAAAAAAACAAAAAAAAAAAAAAAAAAAAACCAAAAAAAAAAAAAACACCTGCGAGGTTAGAGTAAACCCATCTCTTATGGTTTGTTGACTGCAAGAGTAGTTAATTGAAGGTTGAGAAGAAGCAAAATCTCCCTGCATGGGCACATCATCCAATTTTGACTGGGCAGTTATGAGGAAAGGAGGGGACTTAACTCATCAGTCTTCCCTTTTGTATCTTTTCATGCAGGTAACTCTCCGTAGGGCATCAAGATCACCAGTTGCAGAAGCAGACATGAAAAGAGCTGTATCAGGCTCCCAAGGTGACATACTGGCTTGAAGATTTGTACAGCTTTGCTGTTCCGTGTGAAGGCAGTGGTTAGTTGAAGCTTCTCATAGGGGAAGTCCTGTCTCATTTGTAGGTAGGCCTTGCAGCAATTCTCTTTTTTTCTCACAGTGCCTTCATTTGAATTGTCAGTGCATCACTATATTAGCAAGTTAGTGGTGGTTTTTAAAGCTCTAACTGTAGGTGTCATACAGCTATATCTGAATTTTAATTTAACCCCTTTAAGCATCTTACCTACCCCCAAAACCTATCCCTCAAAGTATACTCACCCTACATTTGTGTGAAATGTAGACAGAGTCCTCCTCATACCTTCTCCTATCTTGGAAATAAGAAGACAAATAAAATATCCTTGGCCTTTACTTGTACCTTTTTAATAATAAAACTTGACTTTCAAACAAAGTTTTTTGAGTTTTTGATTGGTTTTCTCTTTTATTCATCTTGTCTCATTCTGTAATGATAATGCTGCCTAGGCCCTGCCTACGTAGGCAAGGAAAAGGACTGTGCACAGTACCTTAAATGTCTTTTAAAAATTCCATGCGTAGACATCTGATAGGTCTTGCATAGATATAAGAAAATGGGTCTTGCAATTCCAGATAATTTTGTTTCTTTATAACCCACAGTATGGGTGTTAAGAATGCCCACAGCTGTTTTGTTTCTGCAATAAACACTGTGAAACAAGTCAATATTCCAGCTTTGTTTCAGAGAGCAAATGTGTTAGTTTCCTTTGTAGTTCACTTAGGTGGGAGCACAGCTAGAATCAATCTAAAGGTAAAATCCAAAATACGGTATGTGTTAACTGGTAAGGGGAATAAAAAAATCATAATAGTAATTTCAATACCTATAATGGTAGTGTTGTGCTGTCCTAAGAAAGAATGGGTTTCTGCAATAAGAGTGTACGCTGTTGTGACAAAATTTAAAGAGGATGACTAGTGAGGTTGTATGACAATTGTACCTGAGGTGGATTCATCCACTTTCTAATTAGCAAGTATTTGAAAAACCTGGTCTTAAATTGTATTTGCTGACACAGTAAAACTTACACTTGTTAACAAGAAAAAGCTACACCAGTTGAGTATCTTGATTCATTGTTCTAATTAGAGAAAAGTGTTAATTGTTTGAGCACAATTCCATCTGCCATGCCCTCTTCAAAAGGGGAGATAGTATTTTTGTTGTGTAAATCACCAGTTTGTCTGAGAAAACATAAGGCTTTTGCAAAACTTTTGAGTATTTAAAGTGGAAATAGATCATAAAGACAATCTGTATGAAAGAAGCCCAGAAAATTAAAGTATCATACACAAGGCAAACATCTTTAGGATTAAGTGTTCCATGTTACAAATCTTATGGTTCACAGTTCAAGACTGTCAAATTACCTGACAGACTGATGACCTCAATTTGCTTTGCTTTTCTCTGGCTCTTCAGTGATAATCAGTGTAATGCTGGCTGACTTGATTCTTCATAGTTTTATTCAAACACAGGAATATCTTCCCAGTAAACCTATTTAGGCTTATTCAGCATGACTGTGTTCTTACTAACAGAATGAAATTAAATCCAAGCAACTTTTCATTCATGGTGGAGCTAGTTCAATAGATGCACAAGTAAGAGATCCTGCTGATGGAAGTTTTATTTGAGCTGTCTTAAATATTTGTCTCCCAGCAGTAGTATTTGGTCTTGGTTTGTTTTTTTTTTTTTTTTAAGAGGGAGTGAAAAGAATTTGAGAATTCTGCAATTTATTTTTTGTTTGCTACTATTTTTATTACTTATTATAAAATGATTTTGGATTATGAGGACTTCAGCAACTTTTGAGTTGTGGAAAACATATTATAGTGGAGGTAACCTTTGTTACAATGAAACCATGACAACTGATAATTAATTACATGCCTACAAAGCTGATATATGCTCATTGAGAAGGATGAACATGGGTAGCAGAGATGTAATTGTGCAAGTAGATTCGAATCCTGCAAAGTCTGAAGAACGCAATTAATTTCATGTACATTCTTTAAATTAATTAAAATTACTATCTGGGCCTACACCAAAACGGGTGAACAAATCATTTCTGAGTTTTAAATTTTATAGTAATGCATGGTAAATATACATCTGGATATCCAGGTTTTTAACTTTACTGTAAGTTAATTGCCTATAAGTAGCCTATCATACTCCAAACAAGTCTAATTTCTCTGTCTTTCTAATAATATAATAAAATCACTTTGATTTTATTGTTCTTGCATGTGAGATAGAGTGAAAATATTCAGGTGCAAATCCATGGGATTATTAATTATGCAACACAATGTTTTAGGCACAGAGTCCTCCTAACCTTTTTTTAACCTCTGTATGTTTGTTTGGGTTTTCTTTACTTTGAAACAACAAAGTTTTCCACATCACTGAAATTTATGTGATTAAGTTCTTTTCCTGGAGAGTAAAAGCTTCAGAATATGCTTAAGTGTTTTCTTAGGTAATACAGTTGACTCAATAATTGCAGTTTCCTATTTCACTATTTCATATTGTGCTTGAAGCATGGATTCACTTACCTATTTCTTATGCCATTGATAGGAACATCATGCCCTATGTGTTTCACACAGAAATGACTGACTTTATTTTTCTTGTTCTGCAGGCACCTTGGCAAAGAGGATAAACAGATTGTAATCCGTTTTGGTTTGAATATTAAAAAAGAATCTGAAGACTTGAATAAATCCAGTAATTTAAAAGCTTTCATAATGATTTACATGAGCAGCTGTTAAACCCACTATTAGTAACAAATTACTTGGATGTCTTCGAGTTAAATGTGAATTAATTCAGGTATCAGCTGAGATTCACAACAGTTGCTATTTGAGCCTATAAGCCCTCATAAAATTAAGCCCCTATCAGTGCTGGATTTCACCAAAAAAGAGCTTTTCACCCTAAGATTTTGAATTGGGTGAATTTTATTGTTTTGGTTCATATTTTCATAGCTGCAAAAGGGAAGATGAGCATATGTCTTAAGGCAATTAAATACTACCATACACCTGCTGAGCTAAGTCATGTTTTATTGATTACATAAGTCAAAAGGGAGTATATCCTCTTTTAATCAATCATGTGTATTCTTTCAGCCAAGCAAGCAGGGGGAGGAGAGCCATCTGTTTTCTAGATTTTGATATTGACCACCAGTTACAAGTGTTTGAGTTACAAAGGCAAGAAAGATAATGCTTCAGGAGAATAAAGTGAAGAAGATATATGTTCATCATCGATAAATTTAGATGAGGCACTATAAAAAGGTTCTTAAGCAGCAGTGAGGGGTGAAATTCTAGAAAAGCCAAGCAAGCACACAGGAGGGAACAAGGGAACTATACTATGATATTTTTAGATGTCAATTGTGGTATTTATTGATAAGATTATGAGTGTAGGAAATGAAGGCTTAGTACCATGCTTCAGGGCCTTTTTTGTTTCCATTAAAGTTACAACCACCTTCTCTCCTTTATGTGTTAGGATTTAGCTTTTTGAAGTAATTTTTGATCTTTCAGTAAAAAAGTGGCTGCACATGGGCAAATTGTTCAGGTGATTAGCAGTGTTATTGTAATGGAAATCCTGAAGTGCTTAATGGGTAGGTCCTGCTTAGCCTTAAACTAAAAGATTAGGGCAAATGAGACTGTATCCCCGGATAAGATGTGTTGTATCCTGCTTTGCTTTTCCTGTGTGATATGGACTTCCTATGTGGGATCATTTGCAACTTTCATTTATTTATCTAATTTCCCATTGTTGAAGGAGCCTAAAATATTTGTTAAGCTGTTGGTTTTCTTCCTTATCTGCATGTGAATTTTTTGGCTATGCTTTTTTCATTTTACTACAGTTTGATTCTTACAGATTATAGGAAAAACTTTGTATTTGTACTGTCATGTGAAGTACACATTCTGTGAACCTTTCTGAGCAAGCCATCTAGGACCTGGTTGCCGGCAGTCAAGGTGAAGCTGAATGCGGTCACCTTGCCAGTGGTCCCTTTCAGTCCTGTGTTCCTAGGCTCAACCTCTTCAAAGGCTGCTGTAATTAGATCTTCAGATGGAAAAGAGAGAGAAGGAGTTGTGATTCTCAGGGTCACAAGGTCTCTAAGCTGCTGATCTGTGATGCTGCTCCAGATTCAGGTTTTATATGTGTATTCCCCACTCAGCATGCAACAAACTGTAGAGCTGAATCTCCAGAGCTCAGATGTTCAGCCTACTCTGTGGCTGCCTGCCCTTAAGTTTTTATCTATCCAGAAGAGTTGGGTAGAAATAATTGAACTCGGTGACACGCAGCCCGGAATGTCCACGTGATCAGGGTGAGCATGCTACCAGCCCAGGTACTGCAGGGGGGCAGTTGGGGGCCAGCTATCAAACTTTTCTTTTCTTTTGCAGTGATTCTAGTGGTCTGAGCTCCTGGATCTATCTAGCCAGAGAAAACATAACACCATGCTGGTACATATGAAGTAGCAACTGATCAGGAAGCAGACATGATGGGGAAAGTAAAGGGGGCAGTGCCAAGCAGAGTTAGCCAGAGGCTTCTTGACTCCCTGTTGCAGCTGAGTTGTATTAGACATATAGACTGTGCCTGACTAGGGGAGTTGGGACTTTTCCTTGGCTGCAGAAGTTAATGTACCTCCCAACCAAGTCATCATTCCTTTTTTGTCTCCCCCCCAGCAAAGCCCTGCCCTCCTGCTTACATGCACAGACAGGCAAACAGGCATTGGTAGTATACTCCAGAACATGCTGTTGTGGACAGCCAATGGCAGAGAGGTTTTTGTGACCACTGGCATGTAGGACACTGACTAATTTTTGGGTGGGGAAATAGTCCCTTCATTAGGTTGTCCACTTAAGTTCAACTCATATTCACCTACCTTGAGGAATTAGGTTCAGTGTATTGTAATAAAATAGATGAGAAAATGCGGTCACTTTATTTCTTATATTATACTTTCAACAGAAATGTTCTTAGCGGATCAGTAATATATACTTGTTTTCATAAAACATTTGTAAAACAAGAAACACCACTTAAAATATGAATAAGGTTAGATATTAGGGATACCTAGAAGGAAGCAATGAAGTTCCAGAGCTGTCAATCCAATGAGACCCAGACTTTTTTTCCCTAAGACAGCTAGCTCCATGTACTAAGTGTACCTCAAACATTTCACCTTGAGTTCTGTAAGGTGAATGATTGCTTACAGTGAAACTGCAGGTTTGAAAGATTCCTGGATTTCCATTTCATGTGCTTACATATAGGTAAGACCTCGAGAGACATTCAAGATCTAGATGAATTCTTAGAATTGTATATGCTTAAAATATCTCTCCAGACATTATGCCGAAAATTTTCTAAATCTTTCAGTGAATCCTTTGCTCTGCTAGGATATCCTGTGTTCTTACTCCATCTTTTTTTCTATTTTACAAATTTCATTCATTTATTCTTTTGTCATAAGTTATACTTCCTGAAGCTTTCAGCATTTTGATTCCTCTTCAGCATTTTAGGTTTTCAATATCCTTAGAGAAGTCCAGCACTTGGGTACATTATTATAGCTGTGGGGTTTGTAAGTGACAAATAGAAGGCCATCTTTTGCTATTAGACTGCCTCCTTAGTACCAGATACAGCAATAGCTTTGAATTAACATAAGAACTGAATTACTATCTTCACAATAGTTTGATTTTTACTGTTGATTACTCAGGTTATTCACCATGTTGTACCAAGATAAAAGCTCAAAACTTCTGTTGCCATTTGTCCAATTTAAAATTTTGGTTTTGGATCACATCTTTATGTACGCTCACTAATTAGAGAAGTCATATTATACTTCACTGAAAGAGATGAGTGGCAACATCCCTAGCCCATGAAGAGCTCACTACCTCTTCATGCCATTTGAAATATTTTTCTGCATTTTTAAGTATGAAAAACGACTGTCTTTCAAGCCTAATGAGGCAGCTATCTGCAAGAAGCTGTGTTACAGGATGAATTGTTGTATCACTGTTTTGGAAATGCTGTATGTGTCATTTAGACCAGTGGCTGCTACAAGCAATAGGGAATGAGTGTTATATTAATGACCATATTTGACAGCCTGTGTCCATAATCTGTTTTTCACTGACTTTTCCTTTTTATGCCAACAATTATGCTCTCATCTGGAAAAATTAGACTGATGCAATTTTCCAAAAGCTATTAACAAGGCTTTTAATATTAAAATGGCTATATATCCTAATGTGCCATCCCGAAACTAACTTTGTGTTGTGGTCATGAAATGAGGTACAGTTAGGGTGTATTCTGGAGCATAGAGGAAAGCCTACATGCTTCAGGAAGCCTAGAGATTCACTCTTTGTATGGCACTCTTGTCACTGAATTTCTACCAGCTTCTTCTGGGGTGATGTTTGCACTGAAGCTTTCTGAAGTTGGTAGAAGTATAGTAAACCCTTGCCAGACTGCAATTTTGTAATATTTGTGTGATTGTTACTTCTTGAAGGACCTGATGAACTGTGGAAACCTGCATATTTATCTGCTTCTTCTGACTTCATCATATCCAGGAAATATAATAAATTATCTGGTAGATTCAATGAAGTATATTTTTCATGTCTATTCAAGCCCATCTTTCTTCAAAAATCCTGTTCTGTCTGTGACGGAAGGTAGCTTAGACCAGTATTATTTGATAGTCAGAAACTAGCAACTACGAAACCTAGATCTTTATTCTTACGTGGCACATCCAATACGTTCTTCCAGCTAAACTCCCATATGTAACTCTTAATTAGTTATTCACAACCATGATTTAAAAAAATCCACCTAAACCATTAGACTATGTCATAGAGTTCCATGTATAAAAGCCCTTGTGACTTCCTCAGAACTTTATAAAGTCCTCTGCAATCCACAGATTTCACACGTTTATATGATGATTCCCCTACATCCTTCAAGATAACTACATGGCTACAGAATTTTCAGAGGGAAACTTACCACTGTTTTTTTGGACCGAGCCAAAGAATGAACTTTAAACATCTTTTTTCAGTGAAGATTTGTTGCAGACTAAATGTCCATAATCCAATTTTTACAAAGTCCCTAGAACAGCAGAACTGTTACCTTTTAATTCTGGATATATCTGTCTTTCAAAAATACCTCTTGAAATTAGCTATTAGTTCCTTTGGTGTCACTATGATAAGAGATGTTAACAAATATCCTTTGTTCCATTTGTGCTCTGTTACTGTTGTATTTCATTTGAATCCAAGTTAAATACAAGTTTTTATTAGCAGATTTATGTGGAAGCATAAGCATTTACATGTGCACCAACATTCAGCCAGTCTAAGGCAGCTGTATCATGTTTTGTTTTTACAAAGACACTGTACTATACCTGTAAAATGAACATTCAGTGGTGTGAGTAAATTGGATCCTAAACTTCTAAAGCTTTGGCAAAGATGTTTTGATGAACTGAAACAGAAGCTCTGCCTCACTGCAGCTCTGCCTTTCCACTAGATTCCAGTAATTCAGTCATGCATCCTTCTACTTCTTTTTCATCCCAAACACTCTTTAAAAAAATAATCTCCTTTACCAATTAAATGAGTTGAACTCTGTTATAGATATAAACATTCATATATAAATAGGTAGATACTGTCTCCCACTTGGTGATCAGAAATCCAAAGTATCTTAAAAAGCAAATAGTTAATTATTAATAATTATTAATTTCTAACAAATCATGAAAGAAAAAACCCAACTCACTGTGTTCATGTCCATGTGGAAAAAAGAAACCAAACCCACAAAAACACCTATTGTTCAAAATAGATAATATAATCCATTAAGTAACATAGATCATTGGAGAATACATTACTGGGTAACACAGTACCCTGTTTGCCATCGCTAAATGCAGCCTCCCTGGTAGCATTTTAATTTTCAGTCCTACTTATGCGTTGAAATCATCAAGTAATTGTCACTTTAGCACCCTTCAATGATTTCTAATCAAACATGGAAAAGAAACCTAAACAAAGAAAACCCCTCCATTCTTCATAGGAGAGGGGGAGGAAGTTGATTTTTTTCACTCATTAACTCATAGTAATTTTTTGCATACTATTTTAGTTAGAATGAATAGGTCTTTCTATGCTGCATTTTGGTTTTACATATCAAATGCCTTGACTTGTCATGTTAATTAGCACAGACAAGTCTGCTTTTAATTCAGTCCATCTTTATTTTGTCATACATATCCTCGTTTTATCCTTACTTTCTTCTAATTTACATAATCACAAGGTTTTGAATGAATGTTGCATAATAATTTGTTTTAATAAAATTTATTTTAAGTAGTTATTACTACATATTTAAGAGTTGCAGTGTATGTACAAAGGAAATGGTGTTTCGCCAGTGGATGTTGCTTCTCATCTGTTGTATCTCTAGTACTGCTTCTTATGTCCATATAAAAGGTTTTTTTCTTAGTGCTTTCTAAAATATGATTAAAAATATCATTAATCAAAGGGATTAAAACTAGTTGGTTATTTATTTTAGGGAGACTGACAAGATGTTTTAAAAATTGTCTTTATATATACTTGTTAATAACTTTCAATAACTGCAAGACAATAGTGCAGTTTTCGAAGACTTAAGATAGGGCTAGCATTTTCTGTCTATATTTGAGACAGAGAAAAACTTGGTAAGTTCAAATTCTTTCAAAGTTGTTACAGTAAAATGTTATTTTTAAATAGAGGAAAAATGCAGTAGAAGGCTCAGGACAAGCTGTACTGATTTTTCTGAACCACAGAAAAATGTAATTTAAACTTTGCATTTAGACAGCTGTTCAAAACCCTTGGTTCAATTTGATTTCTCCCAGTCGTTGCGAGCTTTCATATTTTGCCTGGAGGAAAAGTAAAATCTCATATTTAGAATGTAAGGCTTGGATTCTGTTAAGTTTCATCAGCACTGACTGTCACACATCTTTCGACATCTATCTTTCTCTTCCTGATCAAATCTCTGTGAAAAATACGTAAAGTTGGGGTGAGGAGGACAATAACTATAATACGGTAAACTAGCTAGCACTTCTTGAAGTTTAATGAATGGTTTTTTCATGTGAAGGTGGTTGGACTTCCTAGGAGTTGTCATTTTCTGGGAGCACATATGGTTTCTAAGACAATGCATAGTGAACAAACCAGGACAGGCTATAGTGTATGGCAATTATAAAAAGAGAATCTCTAAATATTTCTGTGCCTCTGATGGAAAAGTATGAAAAACACTGATCTGATTATATTTTACAAGGTGTTTCAGGGCAGTTTTCTCAAAGTTGCTATATGGATATTCAGCAGGAATGCTTTCATGTGTACAGAAGGCAAAAATGTACCTGAGATTCTGGCACTGCCCTTGTTTTCCAAAAATATGCAAAATCATTAACATTGAAGAAGTCTAACAGGAGAATCAGTAACAAACTGAAACAAGCATCTTGGTTATGCATGTGTGTATAGGCATTATGAAGACAAGTTGAGATTGTTTCCTACTACTGCAGTAATGTCTTATCAAGAAATCATGTAGGTGTTGTATAATAAGTTGCCTTTTTCAGTGTTGTCCTTCCCCTCCACCCTTCTGTTTCAGTTCACATGACAGGACTTTGTACTCATTTACTGATAATAAGTGCACAGCCATCTTGTTTGAAAATTAGAATCAGAAACTGAAACAATTCCGTGCTGCAAGGTAAAATGTCCTTTCTGCCCCAAAGTCTGTCATTTATGTATAGTTTAATTGTAAACATTGAGGTAATGTGTATTTGGAGTTCATACTCTTTCACAGCTCAAATTAAAATCTTCATGGCAGGAAATTAGCAATCACAAGAAATAATAGCATATTGTTGTTACATATAACAATACAATAACAACATGTTGTCTTTTTCTCGTTAACCTAATGCAATGTATTTTTTATAAGAAAGAAGAAAAAGTTGCTAATGCCGTCTACTCTTGTCTATGAGATACTATCAACTATAGTGGCAAATTATTTTGTAACCCAATGGACTTTATTATTAGGTATTGCAATGGAGTAAACATTCCCTGCCTACAACAGGTTAAGAGGAGCATAAGCATTGGATTGTGAAAGCATTTTGAACAAAAAAGAAAGGAGGTTGTTTATAAACTAGAAGATTTTCCAGCTGTGCAGCAGTGTTTTTTTCATAGCACTTAAGCTCTAGTTGTTTAAAAAGTAATGTAAAAAGTGTATGTAATTTTGATTATGTAGTCTGTTTCAAGAATCAAATGGAAATGAATTGTTAAATAGTTTTGGAGGGTAGTGGGTTCTGAAGTAAGCTTGTAGTTTTGAAGTGACTCCAGTTTGGGTGCAGTATGTGTAATCTGACAAAATCCATTCAATTCAAAAGTGGAAGGCTACAAGACTTAACTGTAACTTTCAATGAGTTATTAAATAAATCTAATATTTTTCTTTGTAACCTCATACACATCCAACCTGTAAACTGGGGATAAACACAGCTACTGAGGGGACAGTATCTATAAGAGGATCTTTCTGTCTCTGAGGCAGAGTATGATGGCAAGGAATAATAGAGAAAGAGGAAAGGTAAGGAAAAAATCTCTTCTGGACAGGTTATATCTGCCAGGCTTAAACAGAAAAACTGCATTTGGGCAACCATGCTGAGACAAGAAGAAGGAAGATGAAAGAGGAGAAGCCTGTTTAACCAAAACAAGTGTTTGAACAGAATCTGACCACAAATATTGGTTGCTATGCAGTTTTGTAATGGCTTGTTAATAATATGAATTCCACAGATCCTGTTTTCTCACAAATATATATTTTGCTTCTGCCCTTAGGGTGCTCTCCAGGTGGATTTTGGTAAGTGTAGACCTATGTTAAAGCCTGTCAGACCAGCAGCTGAGGCTGCTTTAACACGGGGAGAGCCAGAGTTGCCAATAGGGAGCAGTATGTACCGCTGGCAGGTGGAAGAGCCTGTGCTGTGTGGAAGGAAGTCATGGAGGAGACAAACAGAGAGACGCAGCAGCATCCAGAATAGTTATTAATGCTCAAGTGGCAGTGGGAATAGCAGTACCTGGGCAAGCAGAATTGGAGGAGTTGAGCCTCTGCATCCAGAAGGTATTCAGCCTGAGTTTAGGTCGATGGCACGTTGGTATGGGATTCTTCAGTAGGAAGGGATTTGGAATGGGGTAGGGCATGGTTTAGTAAGATAAGGGTTGGAGAGAGTTTGTGCGATGGCTTGTTGATTTTATGAGCAGAAGTTTGGGGATGAAATAAAGGAATGAAATAAAATTAATTGAGAAAGAGAGGAGGAAGACAGGACATTTGAGATGGATTTTTAAGAAGTACTTAACAAGAATTTTGTCTACAGCACTCTGGAACACACAAGATTGAACTGCTTAAGGTATGCAATGACAATGATTTGGGCTTTTTTGCATCCTGGACAAATCTTTTAAATTTTATCTAAAAATGGCCTCATTTTTTTTTTCTACCTTGCTAAATAATCAGTTGATCAGCCATAATCATAAGGAGATCTTAGGGTATGGAGCTCAGACAGATCTGTTTTCCTCTGATATTATTAGCCAGAGTAGTGTTTGTATGGTGGTGTATGCAAACACACTTCCTGCAGGAATCCATAGTACTACAAAATTTAATTAGAAGTCAAAATCAGTAATGCTACTTTTATCTTCTTTCTTTCTTTCTGTTTGTTGTTTATATTCTGCACTGCTGACAGGACTGACAACTATGATGAAGAAAAAATTAGAAGCTATTGACATGGATTAGTCATTTACAAAACACTCTTAGCATCACATCTCAAATTCCTATATTATTCTAATAGACAACTGGATGTGTTGTCTAGTATAGCAATTGTCTAACAATAGCACTAAAGTATTAGTCCTGAAAAAATGCATTTTTGACAAAGGAATTGATACATTCTTTCTCACTGATAAACTGAATCCATCCTTTAAAAACATAAGGTTGTGTTGTACCTGAAGGCACAAAGCAAAGGAAAATGTCTGTTCTTAATAGCTTATTTAAAAAGCATTCTGATACAATTGAAAAAGCATGTTATTTGCTTCAGAAAAACTTGCAGTGTGCTTCAGTCCAGGCCAAAACATAATGAGACCCCTGTAGCTATTATTGAGAAACTTTCAAATGTTAAATGGAAGCTAATGCTGGCATATCACAAGAAAAGGTGTGCCACAAGAAAATGGAAAAATGCCTTTTCTGAATATTTTTTTTATTTCTTTATGATCTTAAAATGTCATACAAAATAAGGTGAAAATGAAGAGAATTCCTATAGTTTTTAGCTGATGATAATTTTCATTTTGTTGTGGTGGGGTTTGGCCTCTTAGCTCCTATGTGCAAAGGAATGGTGTTCTGTTTCAAGAGCAAGAATTTATAAGTTTCATCGAGTTCCTTTGAAAGTGAGGAAGAAAGGTTAGAGAAAGGGTAAGGGAGGAAGGGAGAGAAAGAACAAGTTTTCTGCTTACACAGGTCAGAAGGAACCTGAATACCTCTGGCTTAAATTGCTGATTTTCTTGTATTGCTGTAATACAACACATGCATTTCTACAATGTTTGTTTGGGGTATTTTTATTTTCTGTCAGACTCTAAAGACCCACTTAGCCTCCTCTTGTAGGCAGATATTTTTAGTCTTAAAATGATTTACTATTTCAGATATCCTTCATTTTAAGACTTTCATTTTAATTGTTGCCTAATCCTATGATGTTTAAATTCTATCCCTCAAATATTTTGCCAAGCTAGTATACTCACAATTGTGTGGGGTTTTTTTATTAATGGGAGGGTCAGTTGCTCCTTTCTATGTTTATTGAAATTATTAAATTATCAAATCCTTTAAATTGAGATAAAAAGTTGTTTAATATATATGTCTTATTTGGTAAATATCTTTGCTCTTTGGCTGGCACATTTTTAGCAGACTCTGATATGTATAGTTTGCAACCAGGCAGCTATCTAGCCACTATGCAGCTCATAGTCCTTCTTTTCCTGATTGTACAAGTGTTCTCTCTAGGATAAATATTTTTCCTGGTTTGTATGACCTCCTAACTTCATGTTCCTTACATATTATTTTCAAATCTATTTTGAAATAATTATATTTTATTTTAAACCCTTTTGTACTTTTATTGTTTAGTGCATAATGCTAGTGGAGTATTTCTTCATAAAGCTGGCTAGAAAATTACTTACCTTCCTGCTTTCCTCCCTCCCCCATATTTCTGAAGCTCTTTTACCATCACGTTAATTGGGGAAAAATAAAAATGATGGATGGATAATTCTGTTATCTTCTGATTTAGCACTGAGTCCAAAAACTTGGGTAGTTTGGAGTTAATCTTTTAACTCTGTTCAAAATAATACAGTAAAAATATTTCTCAGCCCAGAAGAACAACAAAAGTGATTTGGTTTCACCTCTTAAATGCCAAACATTTTATGGTGTAAAAGTAAAGGAGAACAATTTAATTTTTAAATTACTACTTCTAAAAATTAAAGAAAAACACAACCTGTTTGTTTGTTTGTTTAAAATCTTTTTTTCCTGCTAGGAAGATTTTTGTCAAAAAAAATTCCAAATAATTTGTTGTGGAACACATTCATGACTATTTGTAGAATGAGGACAAACTATTCCCTGAATATTAGTTGTAGGACAAAAGTAACATAAACCAGATTTTCCAGTTTTAGAAACTGTGAAGAAGGAGCTTGGTCTTCAATAAGCCACTACACTTGTTTATTTTTAGTATCTCTTACTCATGCAAATTAGAAGAAGCTGCTTGTTTATGTCTTGTAAGCTTCCTGCTTACAGAAGCACCACCAGAAGTCAGTTGGTCTCAAACTGAATTATTTTTTACTTGAAAAGCTTTACCATTTCTCACCCTGGTAAAAAGTTCACTTTTAGATTAAAGATGAATTGGATCACAGCAAAGAAACTTTTGGCTACTGGTAATCAATGAAAGTAATTTGCCATTGGATCCATTTATCCTGTTTCATTTTAAATGGGTGGGTTGGCCCTGGCCAACAGCCAAGCACTCACACAGCTTCTCACTCACTTCCTTCCTCCCTTCCCTAGGGAGATGGGGAAAAAATTTGTAGGAATAGGAGTGAGAAAACTCATGGGTTGAAATAAAGACAGGAAAATCACTGTCATGGGCAAAATCACTGGGGGATTTTAACTTAATTTTAACTAAGTAGCATAAATATTTAATTGATTGGAGTATTGGGAAACAACAACAACAAAAAAGGACAACCATTTAATCTTGCAGGAAAGCCACATTTCTTTCCACTTTCCCAGTCTCAACTTCAGATTCCTCTCTTTCAGCTTCATAGTCTCCACACCTTCACCCCAGATATTTCTTCCTGGTGTGTTACTGCTGCACATTGTGCACAGTCCCTTCAAGGAGGCACTGGGTGGCACACAAGGATGAAGTCAGTGCTTAGCTGACTTTCCCTCTGTCACTGTTTGTTGCTCCACAGGCCACAGTCCCTTTGGGGACATACCTGATCCAGTGTGGAGCACCTCCCACAGCTCTGGCCTTCTTGTTCCTTCTTCCTCCTCCTCTCTCTCTGCTCCCCACAGCCCTTCCCTCTGTGTTCCTTGCCCCCAGTATTTTTTGCCCTTTCTTAAATGTTTCCCCAAGGTGTCACCAGCTTGGCTGATGGGCTCAGCTGTGTCGTGCAGTGAGTCCATTGCAGAGCTGGCTGAAACTGACTGTGTCCAGCACAGAGCAGCCCCAGGTGTCTTCTCACAAAAACCTCTCCTGGAGTACCACCCTGGCTGCCAAAACATTGACCTACCTGTTCTCCTCCCTCTTGTGTGACAAGAAAAGCATGTGCATCACTGTTCCGTGATGAGAATGAATGCATTTCCCTCGGTGTGATGGGGGGTCAGGAGAGCACGTGCGATACCTGCACATGTGAGTAGTGACACGATCAAAATGTTCACTATCCATGTGAATTGCTGAACGGTACCCATGCAGACTTTTTCTTGTCTTGTGTCAGGAAGTGAAGTGGTTTTAGTTCTGTGACATGAACCTCATGAAAGAAGTAACAGAATGTAGCAATGACTGGCCACTCACGGGCTGTTTTGGTTGCCTTGTGTGGGCAGCCCATATGCAGAGTAGGCAGGGAAGAGAGTATGAGCAACAGTCAGGCTGAGCTCACAGTCTATTGGCTGGTCACCTCTGACAAGAGCTCCCTTGAAATATCATCCAACTTGAGTAACACTTGGGATTGTAATTTCTATTCTGTCAGAACAATGTCAGAGATAAAGTTTATTCCTCTGATCAAACTTGTGATTGTAAGGTACAAACATGTTGGCTATAGCTTACTCAAGCAGAGTATTACCAATATTCCTATAAAATAATCCTTGCTGTTGGATGTGATCGCTCTTATCTCTTTTGCTTTAGAGTAATGAAAGATGTAAAATGGAATATTCATCAGATTGCTGTGTAATCTGAAAAAGAAAAATACTTAAATGCATCCCTTGGAGGAAAATTTTGCAACTAAAACTCATGAAGAATTGTCCCTAGTTCTCAGTTTTCAGTGGAATTACTCACAGAGTAAGAAACTCTTAAACCAGAAAGGTCGATAGAGCACATCATACTAATTGAAAAATGTCATGTTTATTACACAAAAGATTTTTTTCATATTTTATGCTGAGCACATGTGGGCAACTCACAATCAGGGTGGGATTTATTTCATGTTACCTTATTCCTTTATTATGAGTCTAGTCTAAACCAGGTGCTTAGGCTTTCTATTCTGTGTAAAAAGGTCATAGGCATCACTTCAAAGTTTCATCATACCAGTCTTAAGAAGAAATGAATCATCCTTCCAAGATGCCTGTCTCTTCCTAGTAATTAGAGAGGAAGCCTAGATAATTAGCTGAAACTAAATGCCTAACTGAGAGATGAATGAATTCACGTGGATTAGTTTGCACTGAGTACCTGTTTCCTCTGGGCCATCTAGGCACTTAACTTCTGCATGAATAAAATCAATAGTTGCTAAATGAAGCCTTTTCTTAATTTTTCTACCTGATACAATCTGAACTTAGATACCAACCTTCAGATATTTGCACTATCCCTGTGAAGACAGTGTACTGGTGGAGTGTAGTGT